ATTGATATAATATAATTTCGGAGAATATACTTTTCATAATACGACAGAATCGCTATGCATCAGAGTGAGAAAACAATACATATGTTCTGTCTTCTTTCCGCTATACTGTTCAGTCAACCGTGAAAATTTATGACTTCTTCGGTTTCACGGACCTCTCACTCCTTCTCGGATCTCTCACTCGGCGGCGGACTTCAATCAAAGAAGTGGGGATAAAAATTTGCTAATTTCGAGGATCGAAACTGTTGCTTGTTTCGAGGCAATACTGTACGTCCCTCGCCAACCGACCCGCGTTCCACTCAACCCGCGTTCCGCTCAATGCGTCCCCACTCCGCGCCGCGTCGAGTCGCCCAACGCTCACCTTGACCGCGGCAGCCCACTGTTTATTCCCGACCGAGCAAGTCGCTCTGACAAACGCGCCCTGTTGTACCATCAGTGAACATTGTGAAGTGTTAGTTGCACAAATACGAATAAGTTTAGCAATTAAAGCAAAAGTAAAAGGCGGCAAAAAGCGAAAACGTGGTTGCCGCGCCGGTAGGAAGGTCCAAGCGAGACGTTTGATAGCAGCTAAGAAACGGCGAGAAACAGACTCAGCGCGAATTATCGCAGCGGAGGCGGGTTCCTGCACCGATCCAGCGCCGTCGACGCGCCAAACTCACCGAAGGGCAGTGAAGATTCACGAAACGCCGAAGGAAATTTATCTACCGCGAACGCGAAAGTAAACTATTGCACCGTTCCCCAACCTATAAATTGCAACGATAATATTGAAGTTATAGACCTAGTGGACAGTGAGTGTGAAATCCCCCGCGTATCCCCTCGCCCATCGAAGAAGTTGATACCAATACTGCGGTAAAGGTATTGAACCACGAGTACATCCCTCATGATATATTACTAGCCCACGTTCGCCATAAGGATACTAATTCCATACCCAGTAACGTGTACGAGTGGTGCTTGTTCCAGCAAGAAAATTGTAAGTTTTGAATTGTAATAAAAACCTGATTTATTTTTTTTACTTCTTATCAAAATACCGAAGGGTCCTGAACTTAGGTCTGCGTCGAAACCCAACCCCGACGAGACCGGATTGCAAGGACAAGAACTGTTTGTATATATCGACGATATCGTAATTTACGCCCGATCACTAGCCGAACACCGCGAAAAATTTAACAAACTCGCTGATAGACTCCGTAAAGCAAATTTGAAATTGGAACCATTAAAATGCGGATTCCTTTACAAGGAGGTTGCTTATTTAGGTCATGTAATCGGTCAGGATGGAGTGAAACCCTGCCCGAACAAAATTTCTGCTGTTAAAAATTTTCCAATACCGAAAAATGTTAAAAACGTCCGCGAATTCCTCGGTCTCGCCGGTTATTACCGCCGCTTCATTGACAAGTTCTCCGCGATTTCGAAACCACTTACCTCTTTGCTCCGCAAAGACGCAAAATTTTGTTGGGGACCCGAACAAAACCGAGCATTTTCTATACTGCGTGATGCCCTATGTCAGGAACCCATCCTTCAATATCCTGACTTTTCCAAACCCTTCCTCATAACAACCGATGCGTCCGGCTACGCAATTGGTGCAATATTAAGTCAAGGCGAATTTGGATTCGACAAACCAATCGCCTATGCGTCGAGGCTACTGCAAGGTGCCGAACTAAATTACTCAGCCATCGAAAAAGATTGCCTCGCGATAATTTACGCGGTTCAACACTTTCGATCATATATATACGGAAAACCCTTCAAATTGATCACCGATCACAGACCACTAGTTTGGATGCATTCAGTACGCGACCCTACTTCTCGGTTACTCCGATGGAGATTAAAACTCGCCGAATACGAGTACAAAATTATTTATAAAGCAGGAAAAACGAACCTAAACGCAGACGCATTATCCCGAAACCCCGCAGTCCTCCCAATTAGCTCCGATTCGTCCTTCGACTATGAAACCCCCGCGATGCAAAACCATCGCTATTTGCGATGTTACACGAGAAGATCGCGCTACTGTCAACTTTACGGTGCGAAATCCAACAACTATAGCACGACCGATTGCAGAATCAGTCATGCCTGGTCGTCAAATAAGTGATCAAACTGTGAAAAACCGCTTGCATGAGGCAGGTCGAAGATCCCGGAGTCGCTGCCGTGTACTTATGTTAAATGTTGGACATCGACGAGTTTGCTTAGAATACGCGCGAACTCATGTCGGATGGACAGTGAGACAATGACAAAATGTACAGGGTGTCCCATAGGAAGTTGCTGAAACTAAAGGATTATTTCTCCCCTTCCACAACTTCAGAAAGCGTCGTATGATTTGTTTTGAATAGAAATAGATCAATAAGCACGCGGCGGAATGAAGATATTGCCAGAAATAAGGCAACATCTTCAATTTAAGCGGAGGGGTGTTATGCGTCTCGCCTAACAATTAGTCATTCTTATCCTATCCTATCACAGCCAAACATTGATTCATATTCGTCACCAACTTTCACTCTTAGTCACATTTCGCTCTTCGACTCTTCTTTCTTTCCTCTTGCATTCTCACTGTTCAAAGTACATTTTCCGAAATCTTTATATAGTCCTACTTTTCTGGTCCTCCGTTCAGTCTCTTGTATTTTCCGGTCATTTAAGCATTGTCAGTGTAATTACGAAATAAAAAGTATATTTTCTCTGCGAACGTCGATCTCGAAGTATTTATTCCTTAAGTGATACCTCATTCTCCGAGATCAGTTTCTGAGGAAGCTGATTCGAACCGGGCATCACAGTACTAAATACGGAACACATAAAGTTACAAACGAAAGTACACTGAAACGGTAAAAATTCATTACTTATTTAAATTTATGCGCTATGTTATTTCCATTTTTTGTCAATAAATCTGTAAAATAATGTTCTTTTTTTTTAATTTTTCATAGAATTATCAATAATTTTATACAGTATGGAACTATTCAAAATCATAGACACGATCTGCCAGGTCCTTCTGCGTCTATAACTGTAGAAGAAAATATTGAAGCAATTAAAAATTATTTCGAACAGAATCCAAATGCTTCCATTCGGAAAGCTGCCCAAGCTTTTAAAATATCAAAAACAACATTACACAGGATTTTAAAATATTTTCTGAAAATGCATCCGTATAAAATAACATCTCATCAATTGCTAACCGAGCGCGCTATGTTGAAACGTGTGGAATTTTGCAAGACGATAAATGGAATGTTTGAAAATGAAGAACTTGATGAAAAATTCATAATTTATACGGATGAAGCACATTTTTGGCTAAATGGTTACGTGAATAAGCAAAATTATCGATTTTGGGGGTCGGAAAATCTCAACGTTTCCCTGGCTAAAGATTTACATTCAGAAAAAATAACGGTATGGGCTGCGATCTCAATCAAAGGAATTTATCTGCAATTCTTTGACTCGACAGTCACTGGTGAAAGTTACAAGCAGATTCTTGAACAAAAATTCTTCCCTCATGCAAAAAAAAAGAGGCCTAGTCAGAGATTTTTATTTCTCAGGAGGTCTTCGAAACAATCCATAAAATGTATGGCAGCCGAGTCATTGGTCTGGGATACCCTAAATTTTTCCAAGGAGGGCTAGAATGGCCACCATACTCACCGGATTTGAATCCGTGTGATTTCCTTCTTTGGGGATACATTAAAGACAATTGTTATGCCACAAATCCAACAACAGTGCCAGATTTAATAGCAGCTATTAAAAGGATCGTCAATAACATTAAAAATGATATGTTAGAGAAAGTTTTTACGAGTTTTCGTAAAAGAATAGAATTTTGCACAGATTCAGATGGTGCGCACTTTGAAAATACATATCATTAGTTTGTGTGATTATTAGCACTTTTTTCTTTACTTTTTATCAATAAAATAAACTGATATACAAACATTTTATTAATATCCAATAAAAACTGCAGACTTTTCTCTTTTCAATACAATTTTTGTTTTCTCAATAATTGCATGCATTAAAAAATGACAGCTGATTAGTTTCAGCATTTTCCTATGGGACACCCTGTATTTTCGTGGTCCTATTATTTTTGTTGCAAATGAGGAGCGTGTATGTGATGATACGTTAAGAAATCGTTTGTTGTTTGTTAGTACTGAGCATCCGTTTTGGGAGTGTACTAAATACGGAACACATAAAGTTACAAACGAAAGTACACTGAAACGGTAAAAATTCATTACTTATTTAAATTTATGCGCTATGTTATTTCCATTTTTTGTCAATAAATCTGTAAAATAATGTTCTTTTTTTTTAATTTTTCATAGAATTATCAATAATTTTATACAGTATGGAACTATTCAAAATCATAGACACGATCTGCCAGGTCCTTCTGCGTCTATAACTGTAGAAGAAAATATTGAAGCAATTAAAAATTATTTCGAACAGAATCCAAATGCTTCCATTCGGAAAGCTGCCCAAGCTCTTAAAATATCAAAAACAACATTACACAGGATTTTAAAATATTTTCTGAAAATGCATCCGTATAAAATAACATCTCATCAATTGCTAACCAAGCGCGCTATGTTGAAACGTGTGGAATTTTGCAAGACGATAAATGGAATGTTTGAAAATGAAGAACTTGATGAAAAATTCATAATTTACACGGATGAAGCACATTTTTGGCTAAATGGTTACGTGAATAAGCAAAATTATCGATTTTGGGGGTCGGAAAATCCCAACGTTTCCCTGGCTAAAGCCTCAATCAAAGGAATTTATCTGCAATTCTTTGACTCGATAGTCACTGGTGAAAGTTACAAGCAGATTCTTGAACAAAAATTCTTCCCTCATGCAAAAAAAAAGAGGCCTAGTCAGAGATTTTTATTTCTCAGGAGGTCTTCGAAACAATCCATAAAGTGTATGGCAGCCGAGTCATTGGTCTGGGATACCCTAAATTTTTCCAAGGAGGGCTAGAATGGCCACCATACTCACCGGATTTGAATCCGTGTGATTTCCTTCTTTGGGGATACATTAAAGACAATTGTTATGCCACAAATCCAACAACAGTGCCAGATTTAATAGCAGCTATTAAAAGGATCGTCAATAACATTAAAAATGATATGTTAGAGAAAGTTTTTACGAGTTTTCGTAAAAGAATAGAATTTTGTACAGATTCAGATGGTGCGCACTTTGAAAATACATATCATTAGTTTGTGTGATTATTAGCACTTTTTTCTTTACTTTTTATCAATAAAATAAACTGATATACAAACATTTTATTAATATCCAATAAAAACTGCAGACTTTTCTCTTTTCAATACAATTTTTGTTTTCTCAATAATTGCATGCATTAAAAAATGACAGCTGATTAGTTTCAGCATTTTCCTATGGGACACCCTGTACTTTTCACGGACAAATCACGATTTTCACTGTTTGGATGTGATGGACGAACTCGACTTTGGCATCGTCAGGGACACCGATAAGATAGCACATATGTCGCTCCTGTAAGAGGATTCAACGGTGGGTCCATAATGATATGGGGAGGAATTTCTTGGAATTATTGTACCAATTTAGTTATTATATCAGCACCAGGAATGACAGCGGTACGATATATTGAAGAAATTTTGCGACCTCATGTGCAACCAATGATTCGTCGCGTAGGCACAAATTTCATCCTCATGCAGAATAACGCACGGTCACATACGGCGCGCATTACTAGTGAATTCATCCTGCCAGAATTCCACATCCTGCAGTAAGTCCTGATTTGAACTCCATAGACCATGTACACACATTCTATGAAAATGGAATGAAAAAACTACCCAAACGTTGGGGAAAATGCATCACAAAAAGAGGAGACTACGTAGAGAAATAATTCGTACACTTGTAAATAATATCTACAAAATAAACTCTATTTTATATTTGATTCGCCCACGTAGGTTATATGACCCCATCAAAGATGATATAATACATACTGGTAGTGAGCGTTGTAAACCTGCCCGGAAACAGAGAAGCAAAAACGCGTATTGCGCGCGCAGCTCATGTAAGATAGAGGCACGAACGAGCACGAGTTAGATATAATCCGTGCAAGAATAAAAATACATCCAAAGAGAGTCCGCGGAATTGTTATTCGACAATACAACTTAACACATACTAAACATGTGGAATTTGTGGAAGAGGTGAGTGGTTTTGAATACGTTTATGGAAAAAAAAACATATGATATGCCAGTTTACGAGATCACGAATGACGCAACAGAAGAATTTGGTACAAAGGAAAGTAAAGAAGAAACAGAGGAAATGCTCCATGATCTCCGTGATCTCCGCCAGCAGAGGATTCCCCGGCTGGGGGTCGAAGTGGAGGCTCTGCAGCGCCAGGCCCTGCGGTTTGCGCTGACGAACTGACGTGGCGACCTTATATGTCACACTGAGATGCGCCGCATGACAATGCGAAGCATACTCGTACTTTGATGGATTGCCCTGCCTTTGCAGGGCACAGGGTAGCACTGCGGTGCTATATCGGTTGGGACCTCTCGCTGGCGGCGGTGATTCGTGAAATCCTTGCTAGCGAGAGGTCATGGTCAGCTTTCGCCTACTTTTGCGAAGTTGGTATGTCGCAAAAGGAGGCGGCGGAGTGGGAGCGCGAACATTGAGGTCGCGCTCCTGCCCGCGAGAGCAGAAGGGGGCGTACGGCGGCAACGGGGCAGCACCCGTGGCCGTCGTGGCTAGGGCGCCCCCTTATGAGATGGAATTGCTGCTGCGCTGAGCGCAGCTTTGCCCTCCCATGAAATCGGGAGGAAGAAAGGACGGGTCTGCGGTCGGCAGACTCGACCGTAAAATCCAACCCAGTATCCAGCGTAGCGGATCGAGAGATTGCAAAATTTTTGAAATGTGTGATTGTCAATCCGGCACAATTCGGGGAACATTCCATGCATCCAGCCTACGGCCGTATCTACGGGCAGAAGAAACGGCGATGGAATGTAACAGAGGGGGTTTGCGAATTCCGGGAAAACCCCTCCCTATATAAACAGGTGCGCCCGGTAAACGGCATTAGAACATTTGAAACAAGCATCATAACCAGAACAAAGCAGAGCCCAATAAGCGAAGCTTTCAACGATATTTCCACAAAAATATGGAATCAGGATGACTCAAGTAACAAGTATTCAACCATTTCTATCTTACATTATATTTTATTATGTTATTATTAATCATCGCAACAAATTGTACACCATGCCTGATGTGGGTGTGCAGGCCTATGCAAGATGGTCAATGATCTCGCGCGCAACACAGACGGGAGTGGACTTGTCATTCCCGCCGGCAGCGCCTACCTCCTACAGGACGGTAAAGGCTAGGAGGTGGACATCATCCCGAGGAGAATCATATCCGGGGAACCTCATCCCAGGCCAAGGTGCCTAGACGGCAAGCACGTACGCAGACTCCGTTGGGAGGTCCGGGAGCCGTACGACCGGACAGGAGGATGGCTACGAACTCCCATTAAGAAGAGTATCCATTGTCACCTGCCGTACTTAGGTTAGGGCTGCTATGCCTGACGGAACAAGCGATAGACGCCTTTTTTCAGTAAAATTTGAAATTTTGTGTTTTTTTTTTTTTTTGTTATAAGCAGTGTGTGATTTTGTGTTATATTCTTCTTTTCTATTGTGTTAAAACTATTGAAAATGGATTCAAAGTGCGCGCGTTCATCCGTGTTAATCAGTTCGATATTACATTAAACTTATATTAATAGACCTCGTGTGCTGTTTATTTAACGCCCACAAAATGACTCAACAAAAACAAGAACGAACATTTTGATTTTATTTTATGTGTAAGTCAATGTACAATTTAATTTTCGATTATTATAAGGACAAACATTTTTAAGTTTCATTTTGAGTTATATTTTTTTTTAGGAGGATAGACAATTTCATTTCTTTTCAGTGAACTTTTTGTGTTAAAGTTTAACCGTGTCGCCAACCTTTGGACAAATCTTTTTTCAAATCTCTCAAAGCCAATTATAATGAAGCGTCATCTACTTGGTTAAGAACAAATCCCAACAACACAATTAAACAAAGTATTGTGTCAGAACTATTGGGGATTGCATACTCAAAATCTGTTCGTATGGATATTGCTTTGAACGGCTTTAAATCTACCAGGGTTTGTCCATGCAACAGACATGAATTTCAGGATGAAGATTTTTGCACTCCAATGGAAGATTCAATGACTGAAGAGTCTTTGTGCACAAATGCAGACCAAGTTGTGAGTAATGAAACTCCTCCAGCACACGAAACAACACAAGAAACCCAAGAAGAAGAAGCAACTGTAGATCTTATCACAACTCCTTCAACTTCAAACCAAATAAAACAACAGTTAAAAACGTTATGTCCGATTCCAAATATAATAAACGGAAGCCGTACAAGCATAACTTCAGCAGTCGAAATATAGTCAAGTGTGAATACAGAAAATGTAAAAAATGCAATGAAGAAAATGAAAGATGCAATCACTAAAAAGGAATCAACATTAAAGATTAAAAAGAAGAAAGGCAATACAACTATAGACATAGGCGATTGGTTTTGTTGTCTTTGTGCAGAAGATCGAAAGGAAAATAGGAATCAGTGCTTGAAATGTAAAACATGGGTGCACGATCTATACGCAAGTGTTAACAGAAAAATAAAGAAATATGTGTGTGATGCCTGTGCTTAATGAAAATTAATTCATTATTGAATTCTTTTTTTTTTGTTATTGAATTTTAATTCCTGTGTTGGATTTTTTGTGCTAACATTATTAGCCGCGCCATTTGTGAACTGAGAATTCAGCTACTTGCTTCTGTCAATATTTAGGTTATGTTTAATGTGTTTACAGAAATAAATTGTTGCTATAATCAAAGTTAGCAAGGAATTAGGTAAGTGGGGTCCTCAATGGACGACCCCATGTATGCATTCATGTTCCTAATATTTATTATCTCATTGTACACATTTTTTTTGCAGATTTTGCACAAAATGGCTAACTAGGAGAAAAATAAACCTCTAACAGAAGAAGAGTTAAGAAAATTAGCTGAAAACATTGGTAAATCCGACTCTGAGGTAGAATATGGTGGCGACAATTCTGAAATCGATGACGATGCAAAGATTTTGCAAGAAATAATGTCGAAACCGGAAGACAACTTGAAGGATAATTCCGAGGAAGATTCAAACTGGGAACGAGATGCTGATAATGTTAATATATCTTCAGGTAGTCAATATGTAGCCAAATCAGGAATGAAATGGTTTAGTTGTCCACTTCATACATCTAAGCGATCTCATAAAAATTATGTAAATGCAAAGCCTGGTTTATCACATTGTGTCACTGCTGCTGACACAAAGTTCCTAGGCCCGTACCGAATAATTCGAAAAATCTCACCGTTAGTTTACGAGATACAGGGAGCAACGGATCGCCAACCGGTTAAAATACATATAGAGGATTTAAAAAAATTTAATGCATGATATAATAACGTTTCAGCACTACCGTACCGTTGTCATATCGCGGTAACGAGCCGTTCAGACCAAGCCGAAAGAAAGCAGTTGTACCAGATACCGCATAATGAGCCGAGAAGGACCTCCGGACCCATGGGCGCATTTGCGGCCCTATCATAGAACAATAAACCGGATAATGAGCCTGGCTTTTGGGCGGCTCTCAGCCGGGCCATAGACGAAGCAAGAGAATATTATCGGACCTCGAGGGAGGCAGAGGTACAGGAGGCACCGCCAATTGTGGATATCGGGGTGCTAGCGACATGCCCTAAATGCGCCTCCGAGTGGCGCGAAGAAGTGGCAGCATTGCCGTCCCGACGCGCCCCAACCAGAGACACTCCCGGCTCTAGCAAGAGGACCCGGGAATGAGCCAAAGGCAGGAAGAAGAAAAAAAAAAGGGCTACCGTGCTCGTTGCCGCGATCCCGTAACAACGATACCGCTAGCTCCTTTTCCGGCACATATCTTTGGACGAAGACCCGTTTAATTATCGCGGCCTGAGTAGAATATTACGTTGCGGCCGGTGGCACAGCAGTCCCGAGGCCAACATGCCACCGCAATTATCGACCATTTTTGTTTTTTTTTATTCTTCCTCTTTCATTGAATTAACTTGCATTTACTATTCGTTTTTTTCCCCCTTTCACATATCAAGTACATATTTATTTTCGTTGTTTACATATTATACAAATACAACTAATTATATACCAAAAAAAAAAATAAATAAAACAGACTACATATAACATATTAAACAAGATTACAAATCCTTCAGTACTACGGTACTGCTGAAACCCACATCCACACTTCTTTTATTTTATCAATTAAAAAGACCGGCGATCCGTACTCCCGTGTAGCCAACGATTGTAACGTACAAAGAGGTATCGGAAGGGTGAGATATCAGAGCAGAGAAGGGACAGAGAAGTAGAAAGCGCACAAACCCGGTAAGTGATATACCAATGTTAATACTAAAATATAGTAATTCGAACATCCTTTATATGTATTGTTTTGTGGAGTTATCACTATCGCACTTTCGTTCTTTCCCGAGAGGGGTTACCGAGTGGTCCCACGGACTGGGGCAAAGGTCCTGGTTCGAAAAATCTCACCAATAGTTTATGAAATACAGGAAGCAATGGATCGCCAGCCGGTTAAAGCACATATACAGGATTTAAAGAAATTTAAACTATGACCTAATCGCGTTTCAGCAGTACCGTACCGCCAGCACCAGATACCGCACCGCGGCGAGGCCGAGGAAATATATCGCAAACATACCGAGGAAGACGAGGAGGAACGCGGCCAAGGACCCATGGGACCACCTCCGACCATTCCGGCGAACAATTAACCAAATTATAAAGAAGCATCCCGGACTCTAGGCGGCCCTCAGACAGGCGGCCCAGGACACCCGCAAGTACTACTATACCACGCGCGGGACCACGGTGCGGGAGATACGGCCGCACATGGAAGCCGGAACACAGACGCTACCGCCGCGTACTACATCAGCGGGAGTACAGGTCAGAGGCGGAGGACCCACTGTCTCGGAGCGAGAGGTCACATCCCGGTCTACACAAACGGAGACGCAAGAGCGGCACCGAGGGAGGTGAAGACGGGCGGCAAGGCCGCTCGGAGTACGGTTCCGGCCGCCGTCACGACTGCTGTCCACCAGAAATAATTTATTGCAACATAATTACGTATATGGAGATAAAATTGCTTCCTGGAAGCACATAACAGACTTTTACACCATAGACAAATAGGCACAATTTAGAGCAGCTCCAAAATTAACAGACAGCCATATTAACCCAAGCAGCTTTGAAAAAATGAAAGTGAAATATGCCACACAAATATTCAGCCATTCCATTTCAGCTGGCATAAATACATATATCAGTTTAGATTGTTTACCCACAGCAGCTATTTTTAAAGCTGAATTCATAGAGAAATTTGATAAATTATTTAACATTTTAAATTCTTCCAAAATTTATAGTTCTATCCCTTATAAATAAGCGTTTACAAATAGCAAGGAACAAGCAACTTATCTGAAGGAAACGATAGAATTTTTTAAAAACGTAGAAGTCATTAGAAAAGACGGAAAATACGTTACAAAGTCCATAAAATCAATTAGGGAGAGGCGGGGACTGTTCGGCCGCGAACTGAAACCTTTGCCGCGGTTAAACGATTTACAACAGGGTTCAAGTGATTCGGCGCGCGGACCGCCGTGAACCGTTCATACCTCGAAATACGGGTCACCGAGGACCCTTTTGTCTCTCAAATTCTGTCCGAACCAGTCTTACTGTAAACGTCTTACTGTAAACGCGTGCGTGCCATAAATCAGCTAACAGCTGTACCTCTCTTTTTAAACAATTCTAACGAACGAAAGCATAGAGTTCTTCCTAACCGTTACTTTTGGAAACGCGAGGGTATTTAGGCGATTCCTCATAAAAAGAAAAGTACAGTCGAACGTTGAAGCTTGCACGGTTCGGGTCGAGAGTCGAAGAAGTCAATCGTGACTTAGAAGTTTCCGCGTAACGCAACGTATTATAACCAATGCAGGGTGGTTCGGAAATCACTCACAACACCATTCGAGCGAGACCCTGCACTCCTCGAATGGGCCACGGTAGGGTGGTTAAATCATACACTGTACACTGTTCGGGCGAGTCCTACACCCTCGAACAGGCCACGGTAGGGTAGTTAAACGTACACATCAACATTATTCGAATGAGTCCTACACCCTCAACCCGATCATCGTGAATAATCTCACGCAACGTGAATTATCACGCAAATCGAACAACATTGAGCGAGGTGAATTATCACGCAAATCGAACAACATTGAGCGAGACCCTGTTCTCATCAAATCGAACAACATTGAGCGAGACCCCGTTCTCCTCAAATCGAACCATAATCAACTCAACATACACACAACGTATATACTCGTACACATTTTCACCGTAGAATCTTTAACGAATACATATTTTTGTAAGGAGTTTTTTATGCTGCAAGGCTTTTTCCCCTAATTCGAATCGCTAGAGCCAATAAACTATCCAGGTTTTTCAGGCTCAATTGTGTCTAAACAATTTTTATTTACCCTCTTCCACAATCGAATTCATCTATTCCTTGAAACACAAAATTTCTCCATGTTGAAAAGATTTCGACGATACAGGGACGTTCGTGAGAATCGTCGCGAGTAAGGTCACGGTCACCGTCTGTGTAGCGGAGGTCGTCCACGAGGGAGAGTGCAACGGTGGAAGCACTGCTTCAAATTGTGCAGAAGTTACAGGAGGAGTTATGTAATACGCGGTATAGGCCGGCAGCGCAGGAGTATTTAGTGCCCCAATATGATCCGGCGGATGATAAGACGGACATTGAAATATAGGTCCGTAACGTTGACAGGATTGCAAGACGTGGGGGTTGGCGTAACGATGAAACGATGTGCTATATCGCACGCCAATTGCGAGGACACGCGCGGCAATTTTTTGATGAGGAGCAACGCCGAGATCCCACCTGGGAAATGTTGAAAACAGCACTCATCGCTCGTTTCAGAAAACCCCTGCCCTTCAATCGGCTGTTTCGGGAGGCTGCCAACTATACAGCGCAGCCAAGACAAAAGCTGGGGGATTATTGCTTTAACAAGCTGACCAAGTTGAGAGCGTTCAACGCTCTCAAGGTGGACATCCCTGACGAATTTTTAAGGGATGCAGTGATCGGGAGCATCGGAGATGAAACAATCGAGAGGACGATTCGATCAAACAAATATACGAGTGCCGACGAGTTGTATGTAGCAATGCGGGAGATGGGCACGATGCCGAAGTTGGAAGGAGTTTCGGCAGCAAAGGCGTCGCGGGTTGCGGATCGGACGCCGATACCAGTAGCAGGGCCGTCGGGCGTGCGAGCCGCGGACAGGAAGAAGCAGCCGGGTGACCAGCTGAAGCACACGACTAAGTTCGTGTGTTATAACTGCGGTGAAGAGGAGCACGTTGCGAGAACCTGCTCGAAGCCGCGACGAAGGTGTATGAGGTGCCAAAAGGACGGGCACTTGGAGCGGTTTTGCTACAGGACGAAGGTAGCGATAAATGTGGTACAGTTGAGTCCGAGTAATAATAAATGGGTGATGCACGCTCGAGTTAATGGAGAAAGGGTCCAGTGTCTGTTGGACACCGGCAGTGCAAGGACTCTTATTTCCAAGGCAGTTGCAATTCGACTGGATATCAAGATAGTCGAGGGACCTTTGATACAATTGCGAGGTTATGCGAGTTTAGGGTCTTGTAATCGTTTGAGGGCAGAAGTGACGATACAAGTCGTGGAAGCGATCGCCGATGTTACCGCTATTATTGTTGAGACAGAGGCGATGATCTATCGGGTAATCCTAGGGCAAGATTTCATTGGGCAGGACCATGTAATTTTGATCAAAATGCGGGACCGGATCATTGTTAAGGAGTTGTCGAGCGTTGGGGTTGCGCCACAATTAATAGTAGATGCGTATGCGACGGAGACGGTAGTTGAGTTAAGCGCGTTAGATTGCAGCGGGATGTCGGAAGAAGATCGGGTCGGTTGTACAGCCTGTAACATAAGAGCGTGGACGCAATATCTTCGAATGTTTATACAAAACAAAATGACGACCGTTATAATGTGAACATTCATTGTCTTCCCTAATACGCAATTGTCACAAATCTTCTAGTTTCGTTCGTATCGCTGAGAAATAGAGACGTTTGCAATCTGAGTGCAGCGTATGCAAAACGGTTTGAAGCGGTCTTTCTCTGTTCGCATCCGAAAGGACCAAAAATGAACGTTCGGAGTGCAGCTAAATATCTGCATAAATCGCGTGAGTTCGTTAATAAGTGGGTATAACGGTATAAAATCACTAAATGTGTGGACGATCTTCCAGATCGAGGTTCAAAATGTGCGACTACAGCGAGGAAAGATATGGCGATTTTGCTACTTTTTTCAAAAAATCCGCAACTTTCGCTTCGTAAAGCCCAAGCTATTTTGGCAAGAAGAAGCATAAATGTAGATATAATGACATTAAGACGTCGATTAAAAGAAAATAATATTGCATGGCGTAGTACGGTGGCGAAACATCTGCTTTCAAGAAAGCATGTGGAAAATCGGTTGGCGTGGGCTCAATCAAATATTGATCGCAATTGGAGCGACATCGTTTTTAGCGATGAATGTTCCTTTTGGGCTTGGTCTCCCATCAAGCATGCCTGGTCAGTTCGTGGCAATCCCGTAATCCAAAGAACTGTAAAACACCCATTAAAGGTGCATGTGTGAGGATGTTTCAATGCACGTGGTTTCGGGACATTGTGTGTTTTTACAGGCAATTTAAACGCACAAAGAATGACAAAATTATACCAGAGAGGACTATTGCCATCAACAAAACGGTGGTTTAATCAATCTGGTGATAGATGACTTCTGCAAGAAGACAACGATCCAAAACATCGGAGCCGGGTGTGTACCGAATGGAAGGCGAAAAACAACATCATGGTGCTGCGTTGGCCTTCTCAGTCCCCTGATGCAAATCCAATCGAAAATGTTTGGGCAATTATGAAGCAGAAGCTTCAAGGTAGCCGCAGTGTAACTTTGAAAGCGTTAGTGAACTGAATTAGAAAAATATGGAGGTCGCTGCCTGTTTCGTGTGCAGAAAAATTAGTCGAAAGCATGCCGAGACGTTGCGAAGCTATAATCGCAAATGGGAGAGACTGACCCACTACTAAGTAAGAGCGTATTAGTTTCTTATATATACTTTTGGTTTACATACAGTTTTTCGTAAAAAAAGGTTTTTTTTTCCAGAAATATTGCGTCCATGCTCTTATGTTACAGACTGTAATTGAGGAGTATAGGGATCGGGTGACGACGTCAATGCGTTCATTGGAAAAAACGAGCCTAGTCAAGATGGACATAAAGTGCACAACCGATGTACCGGTCGCCTATCGGCCATATCGGATGGCTGAAGTTGAGCGTGTAGCAGCACGGGAAATTGTAGAAGAATTGTTGTGTCCCATTACCTTTGTAAAGAAGAAAACGGGCGAGTATCACCTTTGCGTGGATTACCGGCGATTGAATGCGGTTACTATTCGTAATCAGTACCCCCTTCCGTTAATTGAAGATCAAATAGATCGGTTAGGAGGTTACCGATATTTTGCAGCAATAAATTTGGCTTCGGGATACTACCAGGTAGCTATGAGCGAAGGAGCTATACCGAAGACGGCTTTTGTTACTCCCGACAGGCACTATGAACTTTTACGGATGTCTTTTGGGTTGACGAACGCGCCAGCTGTTTTCCAGAGGCTTATAAATACAGTACTGGGGTCGTTACGGAATTCGATTGCCTTTCCGTATATGGATGTTCGCGTCAACATATTTTGGAGGGTCTTCGAGGGCAATTAGCCTGTGCTATTTCGCCTTTGAACGATTTATGATAGGGATAGCCTGCGTGAGGTCTAAGCGAAAGGTTGTTTATAAGAGTCCAAGTGAGGCGATGGATGATGGCTATTGATTTGGAGTCGTATGGCCATCAGATGTCGTAGGATTGCTTGCTTTGTTAGTTTCTGAGAATATGAAAAAGGACATAGCTGATTTTATTAAAACTTGTATTGACTGCCAAAGGAATAAATTAGTTCGCGTCAAAAATAAAGAACCGATGGTCATTACAGACACCCCATTGGACGCATTTGACAAAGCTTCATTAGACATACTAGGACCGTTACCTTTAACTTCCAAAGGGCACAGCTACATATTGACAATTCAAAACAATTTAACTAAGTATTCCATAGCAGCACCTATTGTCTCAATAACTGCAGAGGATGTCGCCAGGGCATTTACTGAACACTTCATTTGTAAATTTTGTCGAGCCGAGTCGGCGCGCTCGGGAACAAAGGCAAGCCGAATAGCATACCACCCTCGAAATAAGCAACTGGCCGGTCCCAAGCGTATTGCTTGTTTCGAGGCAATACTGTACCGGATAATTCGAGAAACGACATGTTCGAACTTGACCGTTACGATTCGCGAATCGACAGGTTCGTTTAGGATCGTTTTGGTTCGGGGACCTTCGTGACCGTTAGGGCTACTCCGCGGAGGCGCGGGGTGGTCACGCGGTAAGCGAAGCCAGTACGGCACGCGCCCTGTCACAGACGCTGATAATGCGGATTTCTCAAACGCGGAGAATCAGCATATTAGGAATATATATAGAGAGCGAACGCGCAGCGGCGCGAGACTAATAATAATATACGCGAAACGAACTGTTCACCGTTTGTTTACTGACCAGTGGTAGTTAAGTATTTGTGTTTAGGAGTATTTACCCAAAGTTATTTGTATAATTGTGAATAAATAAAAATAGTATTTGTCGTTGACGAACTATCAACGGCAAATCATTTCTTTTTAAAAAAAAAAAGTGTTCTTTATTGAGGACGTGACAGCCCGAAAAATTAGTTGCTAATAGGCAATCGAAACGTACACAGTTCTCTCTTACGTATAATCGTCCGTCACGGATTCATTGTGTCTAATACGAGTATAATCCAGTGTTTGGTGTGAGCTACGATCAGTAGATCAGCTGCATCCTTTTCTCGCGTTGATTAAATTTTAATACCATTTAACGAAACTAACGCGTGTCGAGTCACGGGAAACACGCGGAATTCCGACGCGACGTCCGAACGTCTCGCCTTCTCTCTCGAACCTTCGAGAAGATCGCGCGCGGTCTCGTCGACAACACGCTGCCTTCGGCGAGCAAATCCCTTTTTCTAAGCAAGCCCTGCGCGGCAGCTTCCTATCACGGCCCCAGCGCCTATTTACATTTCCTAGTCCAGCAGTAGCGAAATTTGTCACGGCCCCAGCGCCTACTTTATTCCTAGTCCAGTACTAGCGAAATTTGTCACGACCCCAGCGACTATTTTATTCCTAGTCCAACACTAGCGAAATTTATCAAGGCCCCAGCGCCTATTTTATTCCTAGTCCAGCACTAGCGAAATTTATTACGGCCCCGCGCCTATTTCAATTCCTAGTCCAGCACTAGCAAACTTTATAACGGCCCAGCGCCTCTTTTAAATATTATAATTGCTAGTCCAGCACTAGTTAATTATAACACCGCGGTTGGATCCAACACTCCNCCCCCCTCTTTCTCTCGCTTCATTTGGGATATTCTCACACACACACACACACGCACGCGCACACACACACACACACGTCGTTTCTGTGCAAATTGTTGTATTTTCTTCGAGGAGATTTTTTTACTCGGCTTAGCCGGGTTTTTCCTCCTCTGAGGCAATAAATTCATCTTATTGTCCCCAACATTGAGTAATTTTATTCGAAAACCTTCCCATCCATCCCCTTTAAAACAAAACATAAATTGAATTGCGGAATCTCGGCACATTGACGAGGTTTCGACAAAACAGAGGAACCAAAAACAACAATTTGGTCTACAGCACCCTCCAGGACGACATCCAAGAACAATATTACTGCAAAACATGCCAACCAGAATTCAACCCGGTAACAATCAAAGGGATTAGGAATTCATGGAGCCAAGAAAAATACGGCATCGAAAGACATATTTTATCGATTAGACAATTAGCAGAAAAAGAACCATGCGTAACATGCGGAAAAAACCTTCACAAATATAGACGCGCTGCGGAATGTAACACATGTTCACAATTCTTTTCCAGATTTTTCTACTTATTAAGAACTAGATCCCTGCATGTTCAAAGATATATAGTAGCTTGTTACAGTAATGATGTAGAGCATGAGGAAAAAACGAAAAAATATTTGTACAGACCATTTATAGAGTGGAAAAACGACCCTAATTTAGTAAATAAGTTAGAAAGCGTACTAGAACTATCATTAGAATTCGAACAGGGCTTAATAGATTCGGACAGAAACGTAATATTCGAATAAATTAAAATGCGAGGACGCATTTTCTTTCACCCCGGGAGGAATCTCACCGGTCAAAATACATAAACAGGATGGCGCGTGGTCCGAAGGTTATAAACAAGATAAGCCGAAAACAGAACGTAATTAGGAGATAAGAAAGGTATAAAAGACGAAGCAGGCCGGCGCGCGTAACATTATAAAGACTTGAGTATCAATAAGCAGACAGTGCGACATTCAATCGACACAATCAACACATTCGGAGCTCAGGTTTCGGACGAGTCATATTGCGAGAACATTTTATTGTAATAACTGTGAACATTGTAAAGTAGTGTAGTGATTAAGAAATAAAGTCTGTTTTTTTTTTTTAAACCCAAACTGAGCGCTTTCCCGCGTAACAATATAAATATATGTATAGCACCCCACCACTGTATTATTAATGAGGCGGTCCAGAACCAAATCCGTTGCATAAGATGTAAGAGAAGGTTGTCCAATATTCGACCGGCGGTGGCGTGCACAGAATGCCGCAACGAAATCCATGATTTTGATAAAGATGATGAGGAGGCATATGAGGCGGGGGTCTTGATCACAACGGAAATAACACACCCCATTGTCCTCCTTGAGAACGTATCAATCAGAGATGGACAATTGCACCTATATAATGACTAATAAGATTACTTTTGTTTTTGAATAGAGATGTTTATTGTTTAGTTTTGAATACATATTATGAATAAATTACTTATTTTTGTTTGAAAAAAAAATGTATGTATATATTTACATACTAGTCCTGTCAAATAATATATACATTCTAAATACGCGCCATTACTATTCTAACAATGCTTCGACAAACGAAACAACGCCATGTTAGTTATTGTCAAAATGGTACGAAGAGCTGGCAGGAGAGCTATACTGAGAAATTTGAAGATGAAAATACAGAAAAATTTGAGCAAGGAGGAGTCCACTAATAAGTGGAAATTAGTTAATATTGAAATATCCGACCCCCCGTTCGAAGAGTATAAAAATATAGACAATCCTAAAGATCCGAGGTAGAAGTACTGGAAATCGCTGTGGCTGTTTGGGCAGGGAGCTGCATCATCAAGGAACAGCGAGGACAATTGCCGTTGCACAAAATGTAATAATATCAGTTAGATTTATAATAATAAGAGTAATAAGTATAGTAATTGTCGTTCTATCGATCATATAAGCATAATATGTGTTAGCGCCAACGTATTTTTGAGGGTCGTCAAAGGCAATTAGCCCGCCGCTATTTTGCTTTCGTACGATTTATGATCGGGATGAACTGTGCGAGGTCTGGACGAGTGAATGGTTGTAAACGGACAGCTAGGGCGACAGACGATTGCCAGTGACTTGAAGTCACATGGCAATCGGATGTTGCAGACTTATTTGTTTGAATGAGGAAAATTGGGAAGGGCAAGCAGCCCGACGTTGCGTTGCCGGAATGAATAGGAACATTGTTCCTCAAGGATCTGGCCACGGAGTGGGGAAGGCGAGGATGCCTTCTGGTAAGAGGACTAAGTTTGACCTCTTGGCACTTACCCCAGAACCATTGACGAGAGCAAATCTAATTTTTCTCTAACATGCATAATCTCTAAATTCGCAAAACAACAGTCTCTTGAGGACAAGAGACCTTCATAAGGGGGAAGGTGTAATATCCCTGGAAGAGTTTTTTTTCTTGTTTTTCATGTTTTCAATTTAGAAAGGATAATATGTTTCTGTAAGACGTGGTGGAATTTCCCTGCGACGAAACTGGCAGGACTACAGGCAGGGCATGGACAGCGTCAATTGTCACCCGCACCCCCGTCTGTAGGACTAACAAAAGACGTACGATGCAGGGCTAGCGGGACAAGATAAGCCCGCAGAGTCATCAAAACGTTCCGAACGACCACACGTCTGAATAAATTGCATTTTTCCAACAGAAATAGACCGCGTACAGTTTACTCAAAACCCAGTGCACTAATTCCTTAGAGTTTCTCTTCCGATTCGTGTTTTTGTTGTCTAACATTTC